ACATGAGGTATATTGTCGTAAACCACGCAACTTTCACACACTTTGGGATGAGATTCAAGCGGTGTATACGATTGGGCACTTTGGTGCGAAGTACGGAATTAGTCGTGACTCGTACTCATAAATGTCGATGCTAAAAACCACTATTTTGAACAATTACCTTAAACACCATTTGGAACATTCAGTTTAATTAAACAGTATACTTTTCTTCATATTGGACTTACTTTTCCCAGAAATTTAATCTAGTAGATTAGAAAATAAATTTTCTATGACAGTTCAAAGTGTGTACACATTTTTCTGACGTACCCTGTAGATTGTTTTAGACGAATCAAATGAATGTCCTCTCGGTTCATGAAGTAGAACCTTTACCAGAAAAAATCTTTACTATCATAACATTTCCCAAATCTAAGACAGCCAAAAGAACTTCATCGAGCATTCTTAGCAGTCTTAAGATTTTGACATTGATTTGTACCACAAGATGTAGAAACGGAGCTGCATACCAAACTGTGATGACAAAAGCGAGGGGTGAAATAAAGGGGAAACAGATCTCTCTATTACACTTTTGGAGTTCCCCATCTCGTTAATGCCTTCAGTACCTGCTTATTTGGCTTAATGGTAAACAGGGCTTTGCTGCTTAATCTTTGCATCGTCTTCACTATTCAAATGCCTTCATCTCTTTATTTCGTATCTCCTAATGGAAAAAAAAAAGTATTAAACCTCATTAAAGCCTCGGAAGAACTATCATCTTTATTGGTAATATCGGTAACTGCTGCGCTTGCATGAAAGGAACGAAATAAACTAGTAAGTTATGAAATTTTATTTTTAACAAGAATCAAATATTTCGAAGATATGAAACTTAACGGGTTTACCGTAAAGTATAAAACTTGAAAATACACTCATGTCCATAAATTAAGGATAATGCAAAATCAGGCAAAGAAAGAAATAGAAGCAAAACGAATTTGACTTATTTGTAAAGCTTATTTATTAAACAAATCAGGTAAAGAAGAAAAAAGATGGGGTATATGTTTGATATTATTAAAAAAACTTAGCGATTTTTGCTCCCTGAGAGCAAATTATAAAAAAAAACTATCCTTACAAAAACCAATATTACATGGTTTGGTATGATTCTTACTACATTGTATGTCTCCCAGACGATGCAAACTTGATGCTCGACAACTCGTAACTTCATGCTCGACATGCCTATACGCCTACAACGTCTAGGCATGCTGAGTATCAAGTCTATCGATCTGATCTTGGGAAAGATTATTACACCACTCAAAAAGCAATGCTTCTCCGAAGTTCCGGTAGTACACATGTAAGAGGAGGTTGACGGGCTGAAACTCGTCGGCCAAGCATGTCCCACACGTGCTCTACTGGATTCATGTTCGGTGAGAATGCTGGCCAGTCCATACGGGTGATATCCTCCAATTGAAGGCATTCGCTTATGATGTTTGCACGGTGAGGACGGGCGTTGTCATCTATAAACATAAACTGTGCGCCCATGGCGCCCCGAAACAAACATACTTGTTGTTCCAGAATTACGTCCCGATAGATTTGGCTTGTCATGGTTCCAATTTGAACACGCAGGTCAGTTCTGGAACCCAGAATAATTCCACCCCAAACGAGCACTCCTGCACTACTGTAACAGTGTCGTTCAATGATGCTTTCTTGGTTGTAACGGGTACCTAGAGCTCTCCATATGAAAGTCCGGAGAGAATCAGACTGCAAGCTAAACCTGGACTCGTCGAAAACATCACACAAGCCCACTGTTGCGGTGTAAACAATGCATGCTCTCTACTCCAGGCTAACCGCAGGCGAAAGTGAGTTGCAGTAAGTAGAACGGATCTGACAGGTCTACGAGCATATAGACCAATCTGTCCTAAGCGTCTGTACACGGTCTGCCTTCAAATTGTCGTACCAGTGGCTGAAGAGAGCTGACGAGACAGGTCTAAAGCTGTGCTCCGCCTGTTTCTTTTGGCAGTAACTGCCAAATACCGGTCCTCATTCGGCGTTGTAACACTGGGGCGACCTGTGCTGTAACGTCTACTCACATTACCATCATCTTGGAATCGTTGACAAAGCCTGGAGATGACACTCTGGGCAATTCCAAGTTCGTCTGATACTTCCAGTTGGGTATGCCCACATTCCAGACGGCAGATAATTCTACCACTTAAAAAATCATCCAAATGCGTCCTTTGTGTCATAATTATTCGGTTATTGCACTGAAATGCTTATAAAGCGCCTGCGAACAATTTTACCTCTTTGCCTGTTTTCCTTATATATTCACTCTCTTACACTCTCGTCATTGTGACGTACCATCGGTGTCATCTTGTTACTTCCTGAAATTTGCATATGATTCTTGAAGATGTGTGTAGTGATTTTACAGGTGATATATTTATTTTAGAGTTCGATTTCCGCGTGACTCCGAATTATCCTTAATTTGTGGACATGAGTGTATATGCTTACATTTGTTTAAGAAACATGCATTTCAATATCTTTCTACTTACATGGTATCATATAACAAAATTAATTATTTTCTAACTTATATTTTAAAGCAAAAAGCAACTTGAGAACTGTATGTATTTTTAATTTATCATAATTACAATTTAACACAGATTTCTTAACTGTGTTTAATTTGTTATGAGAACAACAATTTTGTGATCTAAATTACTGCTACTTAAACGTTTCGAAAATTTGAAGTATTCTCTTATATTTCTTTTTCTTTTTTAAGGCAGTCTATCATCTTAGAAAATTACGTATGTTTTCTATGTTAATAGCCTAGACTCTGTTTAATATTCCTCTAATTTTAAGAAAACATGCGTTATAAGACAAAACTTTCTTAGCTCTCACGTCAAATTCATTTCACTTCAGTTTCTATACACACAAATTTGATCACTGAAAATAATTCGTAGCTAAAATAAAGTGATCTTAAAAGTAGTCCCATAAAATTTTACCATCATATAACAATTGCAACACTGAGTTGTTCGATGTTAGGCGCGTGCAGTAGGTGCCCAACATAGTCTGGACAAAGCATACTCTGGACTGTTTTAAATTTTGATGCAAATTATATCGATCCAATCTAAAATAATTTGAAAACTAAGCTGCCAAGTTTAATATGCACCCGACATTGTTAGTATTCATTGCATTTATGAGTGTATTACCTAGAGTATATCGTTTCATAAAGAAGACATAGTTCTTCGTAGCTAAGTACACTGCTGGTCATTAAAATTGCAACACCAGGACGGTATGATCTGACGAACGTCAGAATCGCATGAAAGGAAGAAGTCGGGATATGCAAATTATTAGTATTTCAGCGCATTTAGACGACGTAGGAGGGAGAAACAACATCTGAAGCACTACATAAAAGAAAAGTTGTGTGCTTGATTTTTCATTCGGAAAGTGCTTTGTAAAGTTGAAGTTTGCTCAAAATATCGTGTTATGTCTCGAATAAGAAGAAAAATGCTTACCAGCAAGTTTCGAAATTTTATAGAAGCAGGATCGTTGCCCATCTATCGAAAGCGTAGATTATCGTTCCGTGATATCACTGATCGCCCTGGTCGACATCCAACTACTGTCATGCGAATATTCAATCAATGGATTGCTGAGGGTCATACTAAACGGCATGCTATGAATAACGCCAGTCATGCATGCCGTTTATTGTGAGGTCAGAGAAGACAGTGATATTGTGATGTCAACCCTGCAAAACCGTACGACCACATCAAGGACCATTAATCAGAAATAGGCCTATTTGCAACACGCCCAGTATCAGCTCGTAAGGTACGTCGACGTTTGCAGCAGCGTCGACTATCAGTAGGGTGACCATTACTTCGGCTTTCCTTGACAATACAGCATAGAGACAGCGGAAACTCTGATGCCCCGAACAACAAAGCTGGGTACCAGAGTGGCACAAGGTCGCCTTTTGAAACGAGTTCTGGTTCTACGTGCAGTATTCCGATGGCCGTATACGTGTCTCGAGGCTCCGAGGAAACCGCACGTCGCCTGCTTGCATTCGATATTGGCATACGACCCTGCACCTGGTGTGACGGTTTGCGCAGCCTATTGGGTACACGATACGCACATCTCCAGTTCGGATCGACGTTAATTTGAACGCAGATGGGTACATTTCTGACATATTACGTCCAGTAAGTGTGCACTATCTTCAATGCCCCCAAAGGCTTTGTTCCGACAAGATAGTGCAAGACCACATGTGCACGTCGTGTTCTGTCCTGCGATACACAGGGCGTTCGATTGATGCCCTGGCCAGCACGGTCTCCAGATCTGTCCCCCATTGAAAACATCTGGGCATAGGATGCTACGAGACTGGCCCACAAACCCTCTCCAGATAATATGGTTGATGAAGTGTTACATAAACATGAAGCAGCATGGAATGAGTTGCCCATTTCTGTCATCCATGCCCAGTTTGACTCCATGCCTAATGGGGTAAGGGCCGTTTTAGCTGCCAGGGGTGGCAGCTGTTTCTATTAATTTCGCACCACTGTATACCTCCAAAATGCTTACAAATTTAATCATTTTTGTCTTCATGACATACTGTTTACGTGCAATAAATATCTTTTTTGTATTTGCTTTCCTTCATGGTGTTGCAGTTTTAATGGCCAGCAGTGTATTTTTCAGAACTCACATATGAATTCACAATCCATAGTGAAGATTGTTTCAGAACTTATGTGATTTCGTAGCGCTTATAATATATTTCATATAAAATGGTTAATAAATAGACCTTCATTTCGAGAAAGTTCTTAATATTCAATTTTGAACTCTATTTAAAAAATTGTGGAACACTGCAATTACTGTAATTACTATTTACAAAAAGCAAGATTCTAAATTATTGGGAAAATAAAGCTACGTTGTGAAAAGCATGCACTATATATATGAATTCTGTTATTCATGTTTTACACGACCAGCATAAAACGTTCGCTATTTAAATGAGCATTAAATGGTACTGCAGTTCAATAAAACACATACCTGATTTTTTTTTTCTGTTACAGGCGTCAGTCAGCAAGATTAAAGGTTTTCTACAGTTCTCTGGAGAAGACATATTACAAGCAGGAACCCATGTTCCAAGTAAGTTCCATGTTAGAAAATAATTAAATAGGAGTTGCTGAAATTTTTGACATAGAAATAACGTTTAGAAGAATACCACACCATTACTTCAACGAGTAGGAGGCATAAAACTTGAAATTATTAAATTTATTTATAAACGAAGTTAAGCTATTTCATAAATGCTACACGTAACTGTATACAAACAGTTGTACATTTCTAATTTCATACAGATATGTATTATTACTCCTCTGACATGTGACAGCATAAACCTAAATGCATGTGATTGTGTTCTTTGTAGCGTTAAAATTTAATCTAGAATTTCCCATCTACAATAATAAAACATAAAGACAAAAGATCTGTGTTCTTTCTATAGATATCTGTTCGGTTGGCTATAAAACTGAACACAGGTCGCCATAAAATTCTCCAGTTTTTACCATCACAACAAATCTATACATAGATTAGCTCCTGAATCGTTTTTTTTACTCAATAGCTGCAAAAATAGAGATAACGTTATAAACAATGCTTCTTCGAAAAAATTTGTCTTTTATACATTTTTCAATTTTATATTTTGAATCAACAGAAAAAGCACAATGAAAAACTTTTAAATAATTACTTTTTTATATAATATATAACTATTTCTTTTTTCCCCTCAAAGATAATGTTTGTTGCTTAGAAGAAAACTTCCTAACGTAATAATTAAATTTCATAACATCAATATGAAATTTGGAACTCCAAATTGCATCTTTTCTAAACAGTTTTATCGATTAATCAATTGTGATTTTATACAGAGGCAATGTTTCTCCAAAATGATTGAGTAATAATTTTATACCGTGTACCAGAAACGTCTTTGAATTTCGAGTAGAAAGAGTCTCTAAATAGAATGACTCGTACTAAAATAAACTCAGAGTTTCAGGTATAAATAAAAAATTAATGAAAAAACAGTAAGACCTTCGGTAAATTTATCTTGTCTCATGTAGAACGCGTATTACATTATGTGTTGGTAATAACATCTATCCTTCGCCAAGCATTTACAGGCATTACACATATCGATTCACTGCCGATGCAACGAACTTCCAGAAGGTGTAGAAGCCACGAAGAAGATTCAGAATCACATAGCATAGCAGGGACCAAAATTCCTTCGTCATTTGGTAGAGGACGTTGAACAAGAAGTCGCGTAAACAGGAATCCCGCTAGAAGTCAAACTTTGCGAACCTCCGAGGCAGTAGAATGGGCGAATATTCACACGTTTGAGCTCGCCGGCATGCATCTCACATATGCATCTGCGGATGATAAATGGCGCGCCGCTTTCCGCTTGCACCAGGAACGTTTCCCACGCAGGCGTACTTCTCATCATACAATCTTTGCATTTGTGCACAGAAGGTTATGCCAGCCTGGTTGTTTCATGAGAACTACCATGAACTGAGAACGAATCACGAGGATGACAGACAATGAGAAGAATGCCCTACGTCTGGTAGAAAACAAGCCGAGTGCGAGTACTCGAGAAATTGACTTTGTCTCAGTCCACTCTATAGAGGATACTATCAGCAAACTAAATGCGCTAATACCATTTGCAACGCTTCCAGTCATTGAAGCCTGGCGGTTATCCACTTTGGAGGAATTTTGCTAATTGGTTTCTTCAACAGATTTCGACAGACAACTATTTTGCTACGTCCGTATTGTTCACGTATGAGGCAATTTTCAAAAGAAAGGGAGCCTTTAATCAACATAACGCCCGTTTGTGGCCTCTTGAAAGCTCTCATGGTACGCGAACACCTGCAGCACAAAGGCGTTCCCTATTAATGCTTGGGCCGTTATTGTTGAAGACCACCTCTTTGGACCTTACCGTCTGCTCTCCAGTCTGAATGGTGAAGCAAATTTCATCTTCTTACAGCAAGTTCTGCCTGAACTTATTGAAAAAGGACCATGTTCCTCAGTCGTTGAGTCGTTGCATGGGCGCCGTCCAGAATGATGAACTTCCCCACATTACACCAACGACGTCCGCCAACACCTAAACGTTACATTTGGACAGCATTGGATAGGTCGTGGTAATCCGGTTCATTTGCCTGCTAGATCGCAGGACCTATTATGCCTTGACTTCTGCTGCTGGGCTAAGATGAATACATTGGTGTATGAGAGCCCCACTGATTCAGTTGAAGACCTCGTCACTCGCATCCCTGTAGCTGCTGGAGAGATGCGATACATGCCAGGAAGCTAGAAATTCCATGCGCCGCTGTGAAGCCTGTGTGACTGCTGCTGGTCGAAATTTCAAGCACGTTCTGTAGAACTTGTGCACACCACCAATGTAAGACTTGTAATGAAAATTATTTCTATTACACTAACGTGTTGCTGCATTGCTTCTTTTAACCGTAACTCGCGTAGAAAGCATTTCGAACACTGCAATGCTATATGATTCCAAATCATCTTTGTGCTCCTCTACACCTTTTGCAAGTTTGCGGTGGTAGTGAATCACCCTGTATGTTTTGGGTAGCTCGGTAACTTACTACTCGAATTTTCTGGAAAGAAAGCGCCTTTCTAAATAAGAAAATATTATCAATCATGACACTTTTCTTTCAAAACGTACACTGGATTTTTGTTTTGGACGTTGTCTGCTGTCTGCTGTAAACTACGAATATGACGTAATGCAGCATCCAATGCTATAAATGACATAGACGTCAAAGATCTTTACAAAAGTTAAATCAATGATCCTAAAAGAGTTTCCATCGATTTTAAGTGCAGTCTCAGACTTTTTAAAAGGTCTCGTTCTAACGTGAATAAAATAATAAATAGTAAAATTAGAAAAGAAAAAATACACTTTTTATAGTCTTCATCTGAAGCATGTGGAACAGAACAGATATACAATGCTTTATAAAAATAACTCATGGCCTGAATTATTAGATGAAGCATAGCTATATTTAAATTACTGTAATAGAAAGCGCTCCTTTTTTTTTTTATTTCAATTTTAAAAGAGTACAGAAAGCCCTGGAATCTGGGTTTCAAGACTCTAAAGAATGCTTCAGTACAGGATTTACGATCATAGTAGGTTTAGTAAATTATAATTCAGAAAAGTCAAAAGAAATCAAAAAACAAACTGAACAATGTCTTGCTTCCCATATTTAAAAGAAAATTCACGCATTTTTTTTATCTACGCTATGTAAAGGAAATTGAACTCGATTAGGACAAAGCTACCAGTGATATGTCAACATCTATGACTAAATTTCTCGGAAAAAAATGAAAAAGAAATCGGAATAAAGTGTATACCCTTTTCGTATATTCCATAAAAGTCTCCTGATATGGCACTAATGGACTGCAATGTTAAGAAGGGCACTTTCTATACGTCCGACAAAGAAAATTGATGGATTATGAAAAGTATTCAAGACGTTTTACGGAAAATTTCCCAAAGTAAATTTAAGAAATGGTCTTTGGACATACAAATAAAGCCACAGATAAATATTTCAAAGCAAGGCTACCAGCTAGCACTTAAAAGAAATATTCGTAACCGTTCATTTTATAGTGCATTCTGTATTTCCCAGATAATATGATTATGATTAACGCAAAATCACTCTCAATCCGAGGGCAACTAAGAACAACACAGGAAATACGAATTATCAGTATTACCGTTAAGTATTATACACTGACTACCAATAAGTATTTGGACACCTATGCAAATGACGATATCTGCGGTCCTAAGGTACGTCATGGACTCCGCCGTTATATATCGTGTAGGAAACAGCATCGGCTTTAGTCGCATGCAAGATGCCTCGCAGTTCCGAGCTCTCTGATTTCGAGAAAGGTATAATTATCGGGTATCACAAATGTGGCCGATCCTTAAGGGACATATCTAGCGATTTGAAGTACCCAAAATCGACAGTGGCCTATGTGATTAAGAAGTGGAAGGTGAGCGGTGATTGTCGGAATGTGCCCCGAGTCGGTAGACCAACGAAACTGGGAGATAGAGACCGACGAGTGCTGTCCAGAGAAATTCGGAAGAATCGCACCCAACCGATGGCCCTCATCCGCGAGGAGTTCAACAGGCATCCGGAAGTATTGTTTCAATGAATACCATTCGTAAGGAAGCACATCTGCTTGGTTTTCATGGTCGTGCTGCTGCCCATAAGCCTTTGATCACAAAGTCCAACCGCGCTGCTCGGTTAATGTGGTGCAAAATTGAGTGGTTAATGTGGTGCAACATCGAAATTGGACCCTAGATCAGTGGAAACGGGTTCTTTGGAGTGACGAATCAAGGTTCACCCTTTACCGTTCGGATGGCTGTGTCTGGGTCTGGCGTCTACTTGGAGAACGTCTCCTGCCAGAATGCATTGTGCCAACAGTCAAGTTCGGCGGAGGTGGAATTATGGTCTGCGGGTGTTTCTCCTGGTATGGGCTGGAACCCTTAGTCCCATTCATGGTAAGCTCAACTCCGAAGCCTACTGCTTTATTTTGGATGACAATGTGCTTCCTACGTTGTGGCAGTTTTACGGGTTGGACCCCTGTTACTTTCAGGACGACAATGCCAGTTGTCATGTTTGGACGTTAACCAAGGCTTGGTATTGTGCCAATGGAGTTCATTGAATGGACTGGCCTGCCTAGAGTCCAGACCTGAACCCTATCGAGAACCTCTGGGACGAGTTGCATCGCCGAATTCAGGGGTGCACTACCCGTGCAAAATCGGTGAAGGAACTTATATGTCTTCTCCAAGCCGAGTGGAAGAAAATACCACTAGCTGTCATATAAAGACTTGTGGAAAGTATGCCCTGGAGGGACCACGCTGTAATTACCTCTCGTAGAGGCTCTACCGACTATTGATTTTGAATGAAGTTAGTTTTTCTTTTCTATCACAGGTGTCCAAATACTTATTGGTAGTCAGTGTATATATGTAAAATATAGAATATCTGTCTTTCAAATAATAAATTAATAATATCCCTTTAACTCCTGCCTTCGTTCTAAAAATAACACAACAATAATTTTTCTAACTAAACGAAAAAGATCCGTCATCTAATTTGTATTGCGCACTTATCTATGAAATCTGAACACGACATCTGGACTTTCTGAACATTAAACTGTCACGTGATCTCAAATGGTATAAAATGTTAATTGCATCGCAGCTCCCTCTCTTCTTTCCCTTCTGCTTCCTGATGCTTGTGTCGCCTTGCCGCTATCCATGTAGAGTTTACGTTTCTAATTTTCGTCTTTTAAGAAGATGTAATCTGTACAAAATTGGGGGGATGCATAGCGCACCCACAGTGATAATGTGCATTATCCAAGAATAAAATTTTTTGTGGAATTTATACCATGTCTGCAAGTTTTTTGGTTTATGCATCCATCGTTCTAACTACGAAGCAAAGTATTCAAGTTATGATGCAGAGCACCTCCGCCAATCAATTGCAACTTTCCTCTACCAAGTAATTTTATACAATAATGCAGTCTTATTACAATAACGGAGAAGTCATATTACATATATGTATATCCGTATTATAGTAGTAATAAATCTAAAAATCAGCAATTACTTTAGAAAACAGTTGAAAATAATTCGTACTTAAGCAAAAAGGGAAAAATATATCAACAACAGCTCAGGATACATTTCGATACTGAGTGCAATAATGAACGATAAAAGTCTCCGAGGCGTCTTCGGATATGTCATCCCGATACGTCTAGCTATAAGACTATATGCGATGGCAAAAAGCTTGTGACTAAAGACTTTACTCTAAACCTGTTTGCGAGATGTCGATCACACCATTGTGAAGATGACTACTGAAACGGCCCTATTGTCATCGGACTTAATTTTGAGACGGATAGAAGTTTCTAGAGAACGGCATTTCTCTTCCCAATTATCCACCTTCAGCGCTGATTCTTCCTTTACAGAGTCAAATTACATGTCACAAGACTTTATTAATTTGAAAAATGTCATTTCAGTTTGCTTTTATATGGATATTCTTTTAGATAATTTTCATACTTTTATATTTTATATCCAAGTATTTTATATACAAGTTGATATTTCATTAGTAAAATAATACAGAATAAATAGTATACATACATAAAATAAGTACTGCAGCTTCTTATGAATTTACTCTTAAGAGATAGGCTGTCGTAGAAAGACATTTTTAAGAATTTGCCTACATATCCAAGCAGCTTAATCGGGAAAATAAGTTACCCAACGCAACAAAAAAGTTGTTGCCGTTCGTGATTGTTAGAAACAGACAGCTATACAGCGCATGATACTCTATGTTAGATCTCAAAGTATTCTACATCAGCATCCAGCACCCTTATCAATAGTCCTAAAGGCGTGCCATGCCTTGGCGATAACACTCGAGGCTCTTGGATGCAAAGAAGTCCGTGAGTGCGTGTCGCAAGTCTACCTCATTTTCAAAGGATTTCCCATGGAGATGCTTGTCCACAGAATTAGGAGGATAACATGTGTCATTCGTTGTTCCTTGTTGGCTCCCGACAATGTGTGGGGTATTCACTCGGTCAACTTGCACACCTTTCCCATGCCGCCAAGATGAAGTCTCACTGTTTCCTCGGATACATGGAAGCAAGTTCACCCCACGTGTGACTGCTGCCCTCTTCTACGGCTGCCTTCAAGGCCTCGTTATCCAACATTTGTGACAGCCCACTGTGAGATTCATCACAAAGCATCAAATATTCTGACCTGAACTTCTGGAATCAGTACCTGGCTTTGCTTTCATTCACTGCATCTCCAAATGGCTGACATATTCAACGACTTAATGCGGCTGCTGACAGGCCCACCTTAAATTCATAGAGCAAACAACCACCAACGAGCTGATTCGATTTTCTCTTCGATACTGGACGTATTGCTATGTGTGCGGGGCAAAGTACCTGTATTAGTGCAGGTCAATGTTACATTAACCCTTCATCGCTTTTCCGACGCGTGAGTTACTTCGTTTCTTCTGACGTCATCAGGTCGTCATTCTTCAAAAACGATAAGAATTTCTTTTCTTTGGTTCACTGCAATTTCGTTACGTAATTTAAATCACTATTCAAAATAAGAAGAACAAAATGTAAATAACAGAAGGATAAAAATTGAAGGAATTAAATTATAAACTGAAGAACGTATTTACAAGAGTATTTTAGCAATATTATTGACTTCAAACTGGCATAAATACGTCGTTCAAAGCTTTTTGTCTCATTGTACAACTGTTTTTATTCCGGACTACACTGCGTATTATTAAATTACTTACTATTGTAGGTCAAAACAACTTCCAAATACTACGGCATTATCTGCTTCTTTCCTTTCCTTTTCTTCTTTCTTTATTTTAATTTTCCGCAGACAGTTCTGTGTTATGCTGATGATTTGTAACAATAATTTTTCCATCATTCTGCAGTAACGTTTAGGCTACCCTGTTAATCGGAATTTGATTGTACTCCATCAACGTATGAAACGGCATTTATGTGTTCAGTCATTTGTAGTATTTTGAAGAAAGTAAACTAAAATGTAAATATAAACTAACTAGGTAAATATAAAACTGTTTTCGATATATCGTTTAATTTAAGTACATTTTTCCCACAGGAATCCGAACTATTTAGCCAACTTGGAGGTCAGCTTGGACTATGGTTAGGTGTATCTTTGGTAGCTCTTTTCGAATGTCTGGAAAATATTTCCCACTTGATACACTATTTCATAAAGAAGTCGGGATGGAAACCGAAACCGTCACTCTCCAATAGCTTCCGAGTAAGAGATACAAAGATTACTGAGAAAATAACAAGTGTGTGATTAATAATGCAACTTATACTTGCATCCCATAATGGAAAATGAAAAACTTATAATACATTGTACTTATGTACATTTACAAACTTATGTACATTTACTTAATTATACAGTGATATACGTATATTCATATAATAAAGGGAGACTTGGCAAATCTGTAGTTTCCATTTATTTTAAACCAGAATGTCGTGTGGTATCCAATAAAACACAAATGCCTTACATCTTCATTTAAAAATCTCGGAAAAGTTCGTGAAATACAAAGTCTTGAACTTGATAAGTTGCGAAATGTATGACTACGGCAAAAATTTTCTTCTAAAGCTGCATTGATATTTATACAAGCTATCTGCATTGAATGTTACTATAATTTCATATAACTTATCTCGTAATTATGAATTAATCATAGCAATAAAATGTCTGGATCTTTCTCGCTACAAATCAAGATGTGTCAAACAATTTACTTTAGAAAAGATACACTGGTGTGCAAAAATTAAGGACGAAGTCGAAAAAATTAGCATATCAGCTGAACGAAGAGGCAGAGCGGACAGAAAGACCAATCAGGAGATTAAGTAAGGTGATGTACGGTAGCACATGCGCAGATATGCAGGTAGACGTAATGGGGGAGTGTCTGAGTAGTATAAAGCATGTTGTCGGTGTAAGATCAGTATTTCTGGCAAAGAGATTGCACGCCATATAGCAGTAAAAATCACACCGAGTTGCTGCCTCAGCGAGAAATGGCGAATAATCAATCTGTTAGGCGACATCTGGATGCTTTTACCCGAGGTCGAATCATTGGGAAGTTGGAGGAAGGCCGCAGTGTGACAAGTGTGGCTGCAGAGTTCGGAATTGCTCACAGCATCGTTTCACGACTTTGGAGACAATTTCAAACTACAGGAACAGCTATTCGGGAGTTTAGTAGCGGTCGTCCCCGAGGAACCACACCCGCAGATGACCGGTATATTGCCTTACAGGCCAGAAGAAACAGGCGGCAGACAGCGGGAGAAGTCGCTAGACACACGACACAGGCGACTGGACGACCGATATCGCGTTTTACCGTGGCCAGAAGACTGCACGGTGGTGGTCTGTTTGCACGACGCCCTGTACGGTGTGTACCTCTAACGCCTGCCCATCGGAGAAGGCGTTCTCTGTGGTGCCGGGAACACCGGAATTGGAGAGACAATGAATGGGGACGAGTACTCTTTACAGATGAGAGCAGATTCAGTCTGGTAGCAATTCTCATCGCATACTCATCTGGAGAGAGCGGGGAAGCCGCAATCATCCCTCGAACATCATTGAAAGGGACAGGTATGTAGGTGGCGGTGTTCTCGTTTGGGAAGGCATCATGCTTGGTAGTCGTACAGACCTTCACATCTTCGACGCAGGTTCAGTCAACGGGACCCGTTATTGTAACGAGATTCTTCTTCCATATGTGCGTCTTTTTAGAGGCGCTATGGGTCCGCAGTTCCTTTTCATGAACAACAATGCACCATGCCATTGCACAGTAGCTGCCGAACAGTTCTTAGAGAGTGAGGATATTGAACGTATGGATTGGCCGGCACGATCTCCGGATCTCAATCCCATCTAGCATGTATGGGATTTTCTAGGCAGACGCTTGGCAGCTCGTACCTTACCACCAGTAACGATTCCGGAGCTTCGATTGGCGCTGCAAGACGATGGGCAGCATGCCTAACCCAGACACCCTCATTCTCAGCATGGGCAGACGCTGTGAAACCTGCCTAGCAGTCGGATCATATCCCATTAAAGCGTTTTTTGCTGGAACCATAGGGGTTTGGCCTGATTGCCCATGCCTTATCAGGTCAATGTTTCTTCTAACCTTCTTCGGAAACATACAATGACCTGACTAGAACAGAGAGCTTACTAAAGCTATGTTCACTAATTGTAGTAAGTAGACAGGATACAGACGAAGGGTATACAAAACCCTTTATTTTTCTTATATACAATGACTTCCGTACTTCGGAATACAATGACCCTCCACTCGGGGTCTAACGTAAAAGATATCAAAATAAAAACTAAACTCTAATTTAACTTTAGAATAAGATTGGCCTTATAATAACAGGAAGCGTATGTAGCACAGAGACTGTGAACACTACAATACGTTTAATTTATCAAGAGGATTAAAACCTCTGGCCTGGAAGGCAAATAGCAACTGCGTAACTTCTAAGGTAAGCGGCCTGCTTCGAACTCACTGCTTCCTCTCTCCTGCTTGGCAAAAAGGCCACACTTAAATACTTGGCGTTCGCCAGACAACTTTGCATAAAATCCTTCACGCTTATAATTCTGGCCGGAAGTAGAAAATAAGAAGTGATAGTAAAGATTTAAAATAAAATAAACGTTAGTAAAACTTAAGATCCTTACATACTTCCCGCCAGAGTTAATTAGTTTGAAACTGAGGTCTAAAACGACCTTGTTGAAAACTTTTAGCTCTAGAAACTAACGCGAGGCCAACCTTTTACAATCATAACTTAGCTAGAAACTAGAAAATTTTAAAAGAAAGAAATTTGTTACAATAGCAGCTCCCGGGATATACAACAATCTTTTTTTTTTTTTTCATCTGTACTGCATCTAAACAGGAGCTTTATTCAATTCTGGTTCCTTCCAGAGATCTGGAAGGAAAACTAGTTTAATGAAATGTTACAGAATGACATTGCAAATAACATATAGAATATACTTCTCTTAACATTCTTATTTCATTCATGACTATTTTAATTATCTCTCCCCGTGCTCTCTGACATGTGTTGTAAAAGAACACCAAACACGAATGTGTTTTGTGTCTACGTGTGCCAACACTTCCTCCTACAATCAAAACACTAACGTGTTAAAATTCAACATACGAGACCTCTTAACACACCCTAACTTTCAACTCTAGAACCCTGAGGTACTATTCTGAAAGTGGCTAACTCTAAAGTGTAGCGTCAGAGAGCCTAACTACATCATTCAACCTTTAACACATATTCACCATGATTTAATCTTTACAGTCACACGAATAACAAATTTTTAACATTACTTTCACTTTTACCATATCACGGTATTTCTTAACATTCAAAATAACAGTTCACATGTATACAAGAACATATCAACATGCCGTTAATTTTACACATTTGAAAACATACATTAGTAGTACATTGTTAACTTCTATTCTTTTCAAAGCAAGTGCCAATTCTTTCTACATTGAAATAATACTACATTTCAAAAAGTCTTTCAGACTAAAACTTCTTTCTTGCTAGAATGTTTTAAATAAAATTTATACAATAACTTTTTACAATATTTAAGTCTTTACACAACGCTATTATACATCAACTTTAGTTTTACGCGCGAGTAATTGAAAAACATAATAAGAAAATCGGTCACAACTCATTTCTCGCCCTTTTGGCGATAAAGGTAGACCTCGCATGAGGTAAAACTTCTTGAAATCTGCCACTTGCAGTAAGAATGAAAGATTAACTTAAGTTTGTAAAGTAACATAAAATTTTACTTATCTTTGTAATATTCAGACATCCTTTTCTGGGCCCAGTCTTTAAAGGTATAGCTGATAGTAGCTTGGTTGATCCTCCTTCTTGTACGGGCTCGCCCTTCAGTGCTTTCCTCTGGAAGCTTCCGTTTTTCACCAGTACGGCCACCCTTGAACATCTTCCTTTTGTCCTCTGCTTGTGGTCTTGGCCGTTTGAAGGCAGCTGGTCTTGGTGGAACCGGGAAACTTCTGTCGTGATCCTGCTTGGACCTCGTTGTTGGCCGTTCAAATTTTTCTTGTACTTTTTCCTCCGCCGCTGATGGCCCTTCCGCAGTTCGGCGACTTTTGCTGCGGAGAGTTCTGTCGGATGAGTCAATCTTCCGTTTCACAGCCGGGTTATAGTTGCCGTCCTTTCTCCCGGTCCTTTTCCACATACGTCGTCCTTCTCCCTTCTTCATTCTGGGGGTGTTCGTGAACTCTGTTTTCTGGACGGTGGAACGGCTTCTTTTTCTTTTACCTTCAATTTTTCCGCGGGGCAATTTTCTTTTCACTTGCTTCTGTCTCTCATTGGCTTGCCCTTGTACTTGTCGTTTTCCCACCTCTGGAACTTGTACCTGCGGTGTCTGCCGTACCGGATCCTGCAAAAGATCTGAAAAGATTTGCATTTTATTACGATCGAAGTAGGGTTTAATTTGATCAATGTTTGCGGAACAGGTTTCACCATTTCTTGCCTTTAACACTACAACAGCGTGAGTTATTTTTTATAACATATGGTCCTTCAAAGCGTGGAAAAAATTTGGCAGTTTTATCTTCTGGTGCTGAAGAAAGTGAATGCTTAATTTTTAAAACTTCATCCCCTACTTTATAAGTTACTCCCCGTCGTTTCAAGTCATAGTATAAGCTTCTGTTTTCTTGTGCTACTTCCGTATTCTTTTTTGCTTCTTTTATTAGTTTTTCTATATCACCCATTTTAAATTCTGGGGCTCTCTTTGTTGCACATAAAATAGTTTATCTAACGGTGTTATAACCTTTCTGCCTAGAAATAACTCAGCAGGAGTTTTGCCCGTTGTATCATGTTTTGCGGGTCCTAAGGGCGAAAGCAAATTCATTGACATAGTTATCCCAGCTTTTATGAAAATTTTTAACATAACTACGGATAATTTTCACTATATTTCTGTTGACCCGTTCCGCTATATTTGATTGCGGCCGATACGGGACCATTTTTAAATGACGTATGCCCAGTTTTTGGCACATGTCTTCAAAATATTACTTACTTACAAATTGAGGACCATTATCCGATATAACTTTTAGGGGGCGCCCGTATTTTAAAATATATTTATTTAAAATAGAATCAGTAACTAATTTCGCGGAGGCTCGTTTTAAGGGAACAATTTCGGTCCATTTACTAAAATGATCAACCATAACAAGGAGATAGCGACTTTTGTTTAACTGACTTTTTGGGAAAGGGCCCAATAAATCGATGCCGATTATTTCATTTGGAAATTCGGATTTAATACTATTTAGAAACCCGGCCGGGCGGAAATTAATATAATTAACGGCTTGACATGTTGGGCAGGACTGGACATACGCCCTTGTTAACTTTTGCAGTTCAGGAAAGTAGACTGCCTCGCGTACGCGTTGGATAGTTTTTCGAATACCAGCATGAGAAGCTAAAGGGCTGT